TAATTTAGATATAGATATAGATATAAATATATACAAATGCTAAAAGAGTCTTCCTCAAATTCAGCTCTTCACTATAAAACTGGGAAAGCTCTAGCAGTGGCTGAAAATATTGACTCTCGAGTAAACTCTGAATAGAGAGGCTGCCAATCTAATTTTAGGTGTGGTATTGCTGTGTGTACGTGTCTGTCCCGAGATCATTATTGGTCCATGCATGTGAAACTGAACCAATTTATGAGCACTTGGAAGGTCAATTGCTTGTTTAATTTGATGATATTATGAACTTAAATTTGTGATCTGTACAAAGGCTCCGAAATTCCCAATAAATTGATGCGTAAGAGAATCCCTTGATCAAGCTAAAAGTTTGAAGGATATAAATGCATCTTTTCGTAAATACCCTTGCAATTTTCAAAAAAATTCAACATTATATATGTGTGTGTATACATTCGAACTTGACTGGAGTGCTTGGATTAATTTCATATTCCATGCAAATATGGAGGTCAAATTATTGATTGTTGCAAAACATGGAAGATTTCCAAAATATAGCATAGAATTGAATAACATAAATCCCAGAGAACATGATTAGGAAAAAAAGAAAGAAGCTACAATATATTTGCTATCTTGACATGATACATATATATAATAATAATTCTGCTGTATCAGGCCAAGCATTTTATTTTACTATATAAGGAAGCCTTTCTAGCTAGTTTCTCCCCCAGAATTTCCACCAACCAATCAAGCCCTGCATGTCACAAAATTAAGACGTAGAAAAAAAGTCAATTTGAGTCAGATATATATATATATATTGTAAAATGAAGTGTGTGTTTGTGTGTGTGTGTGAGAGAGAGAGATATGTTACTTTGTGCAATCTGTGTTGTAGTCAATGGGTACAGATAGAGTAATGTTGCAAAACTGAGGAAGCTGCTTAGCTTTGTCAAGTTAACTTCAACAATTGGTGCAACTTTTTTGAAACACTCACACACTGCATTCCGATCATCTCTGTTAGTAACCAACTGATTCAGAGACTGAGCACTCTGACAACATGGAACCGAGATAGGAAAAAAAACCCACCAAGTAACCCTGGCATGGCAACAGCTTCGATATGGCGTCTTGGCACGTGATGCCATTAGCCACAGGGCTTGTAGCCATAGCCAAAACCACCAACCCCAATACAAACAATGAGGAACTCATCATCTTCTTCTCCATCTCTCTCTCACTTCAATGTACTAGAACAATAATAGTGTGTATGTCTTCTTTGTGATGAAGTTGGTGCTAGTGTGGACGCTCTATTTATACTTTATAGTGGGAATGCTGGGTGGTAAATCTTCAACCGGGAGCATGCTAGGATAGGAAATAAATATGGGCAAGAGGACGTACTGCCATTCATGGTCAATCTCATTTACTGGTCCCTCAGTGCTACTCCAAAGGATAGAGCTAGGTCACCTAAGACTCCTGAGAACATTTAAAAATAAGAATAATGCTTCTAACACTGTGGAGGAGAGTCACGATTTTTCCTATTTAATTATTGGATTAAAAGATGCATTAAATAATTTATTTGATTTTTTACATATTTTAAAAGAAAAAATAAGTAAATCTAATTCAATGATTAAGTAAAAAGAGCTCACTACTCTTCTAATAAGAGGGTTCGCATAAAAGTTTTATTTTAAAAAATATATATATACAATTAAAATGTTTATCTCAATTATTGATGATATTAATTGATAATAAAAGCGGATCGATATATTATACAAATCGAATTGCATAAAGGAACAATTTTTTTTTTTTTTTTGGTAAATACTATTTCACCCCCTCCAAATGCCTGATATGGTGCTCGGACCAGTGATGTGATACAATAAAAACATGTGTGATACGATGCTTGGAGAGTGATATATGCATGCATACTAATTGCATATCATAAAAGTAATGGTGACAGTTTAATTCTAAGTGCCAACTAGGAAAGTAAATGCGGGGAGGTCTCAATTTTATTGGAAAGGTGGATGAATAAAAATGCGGATTTGTCTCAATTGTGAAGGAAAGGTGCAGATAAGGATTAATCATCACTTCATATTACTATTTAAATTGAAGTAATTTTGTTTACATTTTTCACCTCATTTAAAGCAAAGCAAAGCAAAGCAAATAGTTGGGCTGGTTTAGGACTTCGAAGGGCAATATTAAGAATGGATTTAATTAGGGCTGGTTTTAGGACAGTTTTTTTTTTTTTTTTTTTTTTTTTGGGGGTCGATTTTTAGCTATCTGTGAAGTTATTATATAGATATAAACTTTGATATACAAACTGAAAGATTGCAACTGTTTGGATCCTTTACCATAAATGTAATCTTACCGTGTTATAGCGCTTTTCAACACAATTATATATGTTTTTAACACATTTATATCTATCTATTTCAGCCAAATTTAATGTGTTGAAAAACAAAACATTAATTTTTAACACATTTACATCTACGTATTTGTTTGTAGATAATATTGTTTAATATCATGATTTGTTTTAATTTACCTTTTCTAGCTATCTTCATTTTTGAAAATTTTAAATCTGGTTAAGGAAAATTACTAAGGAAAGGAAAAAAAAATATATATTAATAATTTTGTCCAATTAGATTTTCTTTTATTAAAAAATTAATAATAATAAATAGATAAATATGTTAATTTAAATTTTATTAGGTAGATTTTAGAGTTTTATAGAGTTTTTTTTTTTTTATATAAACTCTTTTTATATCAATTAATATATATTTTTATATAAATAAATAAATACTTAAATACTTAAAATCTTTTTACATTTAATAATAGTATAGATAAAAACTATTTTTATATCAATTAATAAATATTCTTTTATATAAATAAATAAATACTGAAATTCTTTGACAGAATTTCTGTATTTTACTCTGCAATTCTGGATTTCTATAATTCTTAATTTTTATACCCCTTCCTCCATGAATTAGGTAATTTATAATTTGAATTAAATTCTTTAAATAATTTTTAGGTATTTTTTTATATAAAAACTCTTTTTTTATATTAATAAATAAATACTGAAACTATTTGCCTAGAAAGGTTAGCCAAAAGGTCGAGAAATGTGTGATTAATATTTCTTTAGGTCTATAATTTTATAAGAAGTTTCTATATAATCCTTTATAACTCAAAACCGACATGCCAAAAGGAGCAAGCTACTCTAGTTGACCCGACCCAAAAAAATTTAGTACTACACTTGATCTTAGCCGAAAGACCGAGAGAGGTGTGATTAATATTTCTTTAGGCTATATTTGGTAGGGTGGGGTTGAAGGGGAAGGATAAGATTAGTTATGAGGGAAAGGGAAGAGAAGGATAATTTTAATTTAATATTGTGTTTGGTTGATTAAGGAAGGAAAAGAAAGGGAAGGATAATAATTATGTTTGGGGAAAAAAATGAAAGGAAAGTATTTCAGTAAATTTACTGTTATACCCTTTTATAATTTAAAATAAAAATTAATAAACTTAAGTATGTAATATTTGTAAAAAAAAAATAAAAGAAAATAAAAGAAAAGAAAAATATGTAATATAAATATAATATTTTTAGGGTTAATCATTTTAGGGTCCCCGCCTCCATCTCTATTCTCGTTCTCTCTCTACAACACTCTCTCTCTCTCTCTCTCTTCTGCAACTGCAAACCACAAAACTACAACAATCCAAGTTCCAAACCCATATGTTTATCTATTGTCTGCAAGAATCAAATGTTCAAAACCCATATCGGCATATTGTTTCAGATTGTTCCAAAAATCAAAACCCATATCTTTCAGTTTCCCTTGCCCGCTGTTCCAGTTCGGGTTCGCCGTTTCCATCACCGGCTGTTCCAATTCGGGTTCGCTGTACGCAAGTTTCAGCCGCTGTAAGTTTCCCCCTTCTCTTTCTCTCTGCAACGGCTAACTTATATGTATGGGTTTTATTTTGCTAAATCAACCAATCAAGGTCTGTAATTCTTGTTTTGCTTAACTAAATCCTTGATTTTGTGTGGGTAAAATTGGCATCACAAGTATCACATGTGCCATTGCCTTCCCTTTTCTTCCGTTTCCGCCCATTTTTGAGAGGTTAACAAATCTACTGTTGAAGCCTCGCTTTAACCCTCCAAACCCTTCCCTCTCCTTTCCTTACCTTCCACCAATTTTACCCAAACACAATTTTTTTATAACCCTCCATCACCTTCCCTTTCCTTTCCCTTCAAACCCACTCTAACAAACTGAGCCTCAGGTCTTGAGTTTTATAAGAGCCTTCTATGTAATCATTTTTAACTCAAAACTGATGTGGGACATGAAAAACAAAATTTATTAGGTAATTTGTAATTTGAATTAAACTCTTTAAATTAATTTTTATGAATTTTATTAAGAAATTTGTAATTTGAATTAAACTCTTTAAATAATTTTGAAAAACTCTTTGCACATTTAATAATAGTATAAATATAGATATATGATATATTTGGATTTAACAATATTTTATATATATGGTAACTTAACTTAACATGCTGATTTTTTTTAAAAAATTTTTTAAAGCATTAATACTGAATTAATCAAACTCCAATTAATAAAGTTGCCAACTTAACATGCTGATTTTTTTTAAAAATTTTTTTAAAGCATTAATACTGAATTAATCAAACTCCAATTAATAAAGTTGCCAACACCACATTCCCATAAAGGCATAAAACTCAACTCCGGATCCAAACAAACTAGAGGCTGAAATTCACTTTTTCTTTTTTCCGGTAAAATTGTTAGAGTTTCACTTGTGTCCAAACAGTCTGGAACTTATCACGTGAAGCGCACGGGGATATATCCAGACTTTTGTTTGCTACTACTAGGAGCGTCAGGAGGCCATACCGTGGATCTGCCATGGATATACCCAGTCCTGACCGCTTTGACCATCGGATCACGACATGACGCCTTGATCCAAATTACAATAATACCCCTCCACATAGGCCAAAAAGGCTCGCCACAAAAAATAAAACAGACGTTAATAAGCCCAAACCGCGATGGCAATTTTGTGAACACAATTGAAAAAGAGCCCAATTTTGGTAGACCATCTATTTCTCTATCTACAAGTCTCTCTACAAGTTCTTATACCATTATTATTCAATCCTATCATCGTCTTCCCAATCAGTCTCAATCTTACGGTAACCGGAAGGTTTCGCCGTCCGATCGTTTGGGGCTTGGAGATCACCGGTCGGACCTTCCGAACAGGTTTGGTTTCAACTTTTTTTTTTTTAATTGTATTTTATTTTTATTGATCTTTTCTTTTACAATGTTTTGCGAATTTTGCCCTAACCATATGTATGAACGGTGTTTCCTATAGTTTCTTGTTATATATAATTACAATTGTGCATTGATTTTATTTGTTTGTTTGTTTCTGGTAGAGTATGGAGCGAAGGAGGTGGTTAAAAGTGGTGATTTTGATATGTTTATTTGCTGTTTCTGGGGGCAGAGGTATATAATAACTCTCTCTCCGCTGCGACTGTTTGAATATTTCGATTGATATATGTTTTGATTTTTGCATATTGAATTGCACTGCACCGAAACCGAAGAGGTTATGATAGTATTAGTGCTCAGAAATGTAGGTTATACATTCTAGACAATGTTCTATGGCGATAAGCCAAAGAAATCAGATGCAGTGCGGATTGTCATAAAATCTTCTGAAATTAGGGGAATATGGGTTTGTTAAATTATGGGAGGAAAAGAATGTTTTGATGGCTGCTTGCTCATATACGACACTTTTGAGTTTCACAAGGACACAGGTCACACAATGGACAGGAATCACTTCCTTAAATGTTCCAACATGCATAACTTTGTATAAAACTTTGTTCTAAGGGTCCGTCAGTTACTTATCTTTCTTTTTTATTTACACATAATTATTAAAGCACCAAAAATTGTGAAGGTATAGTTGTTAGTCAAGTGGGTGTTCCTTTTGACTTAATAAAAAAAATGAGCATCAAATCCTGCTGATGTTCAAACAAGTGTTCGGGGCTATATCTCTAACTTGGAGAAATGTCAGTGAGCTAAAACGAGTGAAAAGATGTTCTAAATATGCATTTTTTTTATTTATAATTTTGCTTAACATGTGCATGTTTATGCATTATACTTTATTTAAAAACATTTCCAGTATGTAAAATTTAGTAATTTGGATTTATATGCTATATTTTTTAGGACTTATAACAATAGGACCCTTCTTTTGGTTATGATAAGAGATACACTGTTATGTTCTCCTCTGTTGAACACCCAAAAGGAGGACTGATCAACCTTGATGTTGTTCCACAAAACATTAAGGTGATTTCTGATTAATTTTCCTTCTTGTTTTCAGAACTCCAGGTCAAACATAAGCATTATTCGTCTATTTACAATCACACGCTTGCTAAAATTATGGTGGAGTATGCTTCTGCGGTATGTTCTACTTAAATAACTTTTGAGCTGTGGGCTTATATTTTCATGCCATAAGATGTCCTTGTTGGCTTTTATGTTAATCTGAACAATATCAAAGTTACCCTCAGGATCTAAAGTATCTCATCTGTGATGCACTCTTTTTGGAGTTGCTGGTGAAGTTACAAATAAAAAAAGAATCATATCCGGTGTATTATTTATGTGACCCATTTTTGTTTCGTTGACCTTCTATTTAAGGAAGAGACGCACACCCCCACTTCTTAGCTCCTTTCTTTTTAACTGCCTTTCTTGAAAAATTAATCATGAATTCAAGCGTTATAAGTTACTCGATTTTGTAAATTTCATGTTTCCTTATTATAATGTGTGATTTTTGGGGGTATTGATAGTCTGAGACAGTTTTTGTTTACAACTCATTTATACCCTGTTGACCTAATTTCTCAAGTGAGATAAAAACTTCCTACTTCTTGGCTTCTTTCTAGTCAAAACATTGTCAGAGTATGCACAGTTTTACAGTTTCCTTATACTTGGGTGTTTTGATCGTATGAATGTCCAATTATTAATCAATAAATGAATCACACATTTTTCAGTTAATTAGTTAATAACATTTTTCAATTGCAATCACCCAAACACATAAAGCAGTAAATATATTAAAGTAGAAACACAAGAGTTTGTATGTGGAAAACCATAAAAGGGAAAAACCATGGGACATAGTCTAGCTCTAGGTTATATAGAATCTATCCCAAGCCACTGTCCAGGTTTTGATCAACTGAATCTTCGATCGTAGCTTTTTGGATTTCTTACCAATTTTATCAGAAATTTTCAATCGATCAAGATATAGATTGAAACTCACTGTTATTGTAAAAATCCATGTTTACAATTTCAATTGGTGCATCAATATTTTAAAAGATCAAAAACCCTGCTTTTGAAAAACATGTTTGAAACAAATGTTTTAAAGATTAAACCTAGGTCATGGATGACCACTAAGACCTCATCATCTTGTTTTGGTTGTAGACAAACAACTCAAGACTTAAAATGCTAATTACAACCTTAACTTTTGATTGACAAATTGCCTACACATGACTTGATAACTTAACAGGGTTATTAGACAAATCCTTACTCTGTGAAGGTGCTATGTTGAAGTGTCATAAGATGATCTGTTAAGTACAATTTCATGTTCTTCTACATTGCAATGGTCAAGGTTTTTTGGTACAGTTAACACACTTGAGGGAATTTTCAAATGTTGATGGTCACTGGAAACAAGTTTTGCACTTGCAGGTGTACTTGTCAGATTTGACAGAGCTATTTACTTGGACATGCTCAAGATGTGATGATTTGACTGAGGTAACATGATTGATATATACATTGCGTGTTCAACAAATTGAAAGAGTAACTTTGAATAGAATATTTGCTATAGTATAGTTAAATTGTTTTTACTTTAAAAAGAAAAGGAAAAAAAAGGTATAGCTAAACTATTTTTGTGCTATTCTTCATTTTAGTGATTGTAAAATTGATTGCTATTATATTTGGAATTAGGGGTTCGAAATGATAGAGCTGATCGTTGATGTCCAGCACTGCTTACAGGTTCTTATGGCTTACTACATACTAAAAATCACGGTTCTCTACTCCTACTCCTAGTTTCATTTTAAAAATTTTTGATTTCTATAAAAATTTACTGCAGGCATTTGTAGGGGTGGCAAAGGATCTTAATGCTATAGTGATTGCATTCAGAGGCACTCAGGAACGCAGGTTTGAAATTCTGGTGGCTTTAATATTCTTGCTATCTTGCTGTGGTAATGGCTTCAGATCAAATTCTTTACTGAACTGTGCAATGAGCTTGCTCTTGAGCTAGATAGTTTGATGCCTGGTTGGTAGATCACATGAGAGGCAGATATCATATGAATTTTAAGATTATGAAAAAGATAGTATCTGTGTATTTTGAATTTTATCCTATTTTTGTTATAAATCAGTCATAATACCTTTACTAAAAGATACCACTTGTTCCTTTATTACATGTTTCTTAGTAACCTTTATTTGCTATCCTTACACTTGGGTGGGACCTTAAACCTGTGTTTAAACATAATCTCTTAATTAATTAATATTTTCCTAAATGAAGTTGAGATTGGATTAAAATGATAGAATATGAAAGTACATGGAGATTCAGTGAGGGCATCATATCCCCCATATTACACATTAAGTCTGATTAATCTTGCTGATGTTTTGTGTCTTGAAAAAAAGAAGAAGAAAGAAACATCCTGGTTTTTTGTTGTGCACTTGTATGCCAATCTATAAGGATTTTTTTTTTTTTTTCTTTTTTTTTTTTTTTTCTTCAATGAGTTGATATGTCTTCGAAGTTTGAAATCACGTTTATTCTATTATTTGGATTGTCGAACTTGCATGTGTTTTGTTTCACTTTCTCATGTTGACTACTGTTGATTGAACAAAGTGAATGTTGTTTACAGCATACAGAATTGGGTTGAAGACCTGTTCTGGAAACAACTTGATATAAATTACCCTGGCATGCCGGATGCAATGGTATATTGGAGAGGAGTTCCTGGGTGTGTGTAATTTATTTTTTTTAGGGTGAATATTTTTTTTTTTTTTATGTTTCTTGCGTTGTTTCAGGTGCATCGTGGATTTTATTATGCTTACCACAACACCACTTTACGTCCTGGAATTCTAAGTGCTATTAAAAGAGCAAAAAAGTTATATGGGGAGATGAAGATTATGGTGACAGGACATTCAATGGGAGGGGCTATGGCTTCCTTTTGTGGATTGGATCTCAGAGTAATCATAATTAAGCCTCTCTTGACACATCTGCATATTTAAGTCTTTGTATGATAGTGAATGACTTTTCCACGTACATAGTATCATCATCATCTAATATTGTTTTGACAGTAGTAAGGTGCATTTGTTTGTTTGTTTTTTTTTTCCTTCCCAGTTTTGCTTTTACAAGTTACATTAAGTATGCTGGTGATACTGCTCCCTGTGTGTCTCTGGTCATTTCATCATCATCATCTATTATTGTTTTGACAATACTTATGTTTATTTGATGTTTCGCTTTTTTTTTTTATTTTTTTTTATTCCCGGTGTTGCTTTTATGAGTTGCATTAAACGTGCTAGTGATACGGCTCCTCATGTGTCTCTGGTCATGGTCGCATGTGATTATCATTGTGGATGACTTGACTGACACTCACATATATTGAGATGATTTTTGATATAACTACATGTGATGGGATCAATATATTGTGGATTTTCCTACTTTTTAGTAGTCTGTCAGCACATTTTGCATTGGTGGGTGTAATTTGGAAGTCCTGCTAAGGTATTGTTATGTGCAATATTTGGAGCTATTATTTTCATTCCTATTTGAAACTTGCACATTCACTTTGCCCCTTTGGGGACCATTCGACCTTCTACTTTAGAAGGTGAGGAAGTATCATTGGGTTACAACCTTTGGTGCAAGTGATGTCCAAAACAAACCATAAGGCTAAAATTGAAGTGCTGAATCTATTTCTTGGTTTAGTAATTTTAGGGCGTTCTTGTGACATAACTTGGCTTTCCTTTTCCGATTAAAAGTGTTTTGATGATATTGCTGTTTATTTTGAAAGCACACATTTCCATTTTGTTAATGTTGTACTGAAGGATTATTTTCTTATTACTAGGTCAATGGTGAAGCTCAGCATGTTCAGGTCATGACATTTGGACAACCTCGTGTTGGCAATGCTGTTTTTGCAACTTACTATAGTGAACTTGTGCCAAATACGATCCGAGTCGTAAATGAACATGACATTGTGCCTCATTTGCCTCCCTACTATTCATATTTCCCGCAAAAGACATACCATCATTTCCCGAGAGAGGTAATGTCAAATTTTTGCTATTTTTTTTTTTTTTTAACCTTATATAGATGTCAAACTAAAACTTAATGAATTTTCTAGTAGAAATTTTATGTATGAATCAGAGAAGCTTGGGATAGATCTTTGTAACCAAAGCTGTCCTGAGCAAACATTGCATGAAACAGGTTGCTTAACGAGCATACGCAAGTTGATTGCAAGTTATTTGGTTCAGTGATTTATGAAATTTTTCACAATTAACACAAACACCACAAGTAGTGATTATTCATAGACTTTCTGAAGTATATGAGTAATCTTTGAAAGCCAGCGTATACTTCTTTAACCCTCATCTCCCTTCCTCGAGCATGTGTTGCCTATTTGTTAAAAGCTACTGGCAGCTTTTTCATGGTACTCACTTATTAATTAAATTCTGAATCCATTGACATTAAATAGGTCACTTGGTCATCCTTCCATCCCAAACCCAACAGCACACGCATGCTAAAGCGGGAAAAAGGATTGAAGAAAAGAAGAAAGAAATAAAGAAAAAGAAAAAAGGAAAAATATAATGTGGTTTTATTATGCCAATAGTGATTGTCTAAGTTGAAACTGAATATAACTGCATCCTTGCTGAGGAAACATATTTTTATGTAACAAATAGATGAGGTTAAGAAATCATATTTCTATCTAACAAACCCATGTTAAAGGTCATTTTAGTTTTGGTCACATCTCCATTTCTATACCTTGTAAATCAGCAAGACTCTTTCAAGGTCACACATCTCTTCTCTAAACCTTATAAATCATCAAGACTCTTCCTCTTCTTTGCAGGTGTGGCTTTACAATATCGAATTGGGAAGTTTAGTTTATAGAGTTGAGAAGGTTTGCGATAGTTCTGGTGAGGACCCGTCTTGTAGCAGGTTAGTGCCCACTTCTGTGATCCCAATCGACCTTTACTTCAAAATATGGTTATTACTTGTTCATGAAGTGAATTAAGTTTTAAAAAATCAAGCTGTGTTATCAGTGTTTTCTTTTCTTTTCCCGTCCTTTTGGTTACTAAATGGAGAATTATATTAGAAGTGGGTTCATTTTGTGCATAGTTATGGATGTTCGAGCAAATTGTCTGAATATGACTGCTAAACAGTCTTTACTCGAAATTTTGTGCAGGTCAGTGGCCGGAAACAGCATCTCAGACCATTTAGTGTATTATGGTGTTAAGATGGGGTGTGATGCAGTGTCTACATGCCATATAGTGATGGGTCCTCATGTGGCTGCATACGGTACGAAAGATGTTGGGGGAAATATCGTCTTGTCCAGAGATCCTTCCAACCTTTTTTTAAAACTGAATACGGGGCCAGTTGTTCCGAGCACTTCTTCCACTTAGATTTTACTTTGGTTGGTACGTGATTTTTCTCTTCGAAAATTGATCGAGAGAGGTCATTCTGGATAAGCTTTTTTCCAGAAAGATATACCTGAAGAATGTCATTGCTGGGGCCTTTGTTGGGGGAATATGTATATATTGTAGTGTGTATATTTCATTCTGTCAATATGTGTACTGGTTCTACATCTGAAGTCCAAAATTAAACTTTTGTACATTTCATCCTTGTCAATATGTTCACGGGTTTTACATTGAAATCAATCGTAGTAGTTTAATTTCCTCTTGTTATAGCTGTAATATATATATATTTATTTTCTTTTTTCTTAACCATATATACTTGCTCCATACCAAGATAAATGTCTACCTTTTTATTTTTGTTGTTCCAAAATAAATGTCTTAATACAAAAGTTAAAAGTATTATTTTTTGTAACATCATCAATTTAACCTTTTTATAAAAAGTAAATTATCCCATCCCTGCCAATCCATTAGGGATTGATTTGGTAATTTGTTCATTGTTAATATAATAAAAATTATTAAAATTCATCCTCCTAAAACATTAAATTCTCAAGAAGGGATATTTATTTCGAGACAGGTAGTATATAGCAAAGCCAATATAATCCCAAACGGTTCATGATATGATACCAATAAAGTGATCGGTTGAGATATTTTACTAAATTAATTCAATTTATGTTCGGTTGCATGGAATTGGAGTTTTGGAATTGAAATTTATGGAATTCGAAAAAATCAACTCATAAAATTGAATCAAAATTTTCTCCATTTTCGTCACAAGGCTTCAATTCCAGAGACTTCAATTCCATACTACTGAACGCAACATTAAGACAATTGTTATTCTATAACTCACGAGTAAAAAATATTCCATGTGAGTTTTCACACTTGTATCACGTATATTATAGTGTATACCTACGCCATGTATGCAATTATGCGTGATGGATGCTTACTCACCTCACTCTCGAGTATAATTTCAGTGAATAAATGGTTATATTTGAAAATCAAGATTCTATTTTGTGTCATTTTAGTCTTGTGTCAATGTTTAAATCCACAATACAACTTTAAATTTAGAATGCAAGAATCATATAAATGTGTTAAATTTTTTATTCAATAATATTATAGTATTACAATACAATATAATACATTGTATGAGTGTTGTATCTTTAATGTAAATGTATTTTCCATATTGTTATATTATTATTACATAAGACTTGTGATATTGTGTTCTCCCAAGGCACCGACGCTGGTAGTCTTCAATTTGAGGGTCAATCGCGGTTGTAATCGCAAGAGGTATGATGGAGGTTATGGTGGCGGTGGTTGGTGGTCAAGCGTGGTGGGGATGATGGTGGACGACCAGAGGAAAACGTAGGTGGGTGGGGTGGGTGGTGGTTTGTTGTGTGTGTGTGTGTGTGTGTGTGTGTGTATGGATATTTTCGTCATTTGACATACTAATTTGAGGGCATTTTAGTAAATTAAATTGGTCTGTCAGTCTATTTAATGGCCCATCAAGTGGGGAGGTCCATGTAGAATAGTTTTACCTTTGATGAAGGTCCAAGTAAATTCCCAAACTATATGGAAGGTCCGTGTAATTATGACAAACCATAAGGAAGGAATGTGTAAATTACCCTTTTAAAATGTACAAAAGCAACATGTGTATAAGCTTTACTAGGGGATCCAAGTTCAAATGGTTAATATGTGATTACAATTATACCATTCAAAAGTTACCTTATTTGCCCTTTTTTAAAGCTAGGAGAACAAAAAAGTTTAGATTAGTTGATAACACAAGCCATTGAAATAAGGAGATTTTGGAATGTAGAGAATTTATAAATAAACCCAATAAATTACATAAATAGCAAAATTAAATAAACCTAATAAATCACATAAATAGCCAAATTAAAAAGAATAAAGAGGTCCAATAAAACCAAAATAAATAGGCCACTAACATAAAAGTAAATAGGCCACTAACATAAAAGTAAATAGGCCCAATAGAAAACTTATGTAATAAAGAATTTTTAAGAACTAGTCAAAGGTGGAACATTATATATACCCTTCTTAGAACATATGGAAGATGTATAATTCATTGTAATCTAGCAGTTTCCAAGATCACAATTCAATACGTACCAGAGTAGATGGAGGGAGGAAAATTAAGGGCAGTTGTAGTGTTTGTTTTGGTGTTGGGGTTGGTGTTGTTTGTGGGGCAGTGTACAGCCTCTATTGGGAAATTTCCAAAATGCTATGGTAAATGTTTTGCTTCCTGTGTGTTTCATATCCCCCCTCAGTTAAAGACATGTGCAGCAGTATGTTTGGCTAAATGCATCTTTACAAAGGTTCCTCCTCAAAACTTAAGTCAATCCAGTACTCATCACTTTTGCAAGTTTGGTTGTGCTTATTCATTATGCACCAATATTAGCACATTACAAGATGCAGGTAATTAATCTCTCTCTCTCACTCTCTATATATATCTATAAATTTATGTAATATATATATCTCATTTATTTATTTATTGTCAGGGGAAGACAAAGTTGAGACTTGCGTGGATTCCTGCTCAGAGACATGTAACAAGAATTACTTATTGCCTTAAGAAGACACAATAGTTGGACTAGTAATAATGTTAGTGTATCAAGTAGAAACTACTTGTTTCATTGTTGTTTTCATGGAATTAATTTCATATTGAATCTAAAATGAATGATTAAGTTAACCTGCACTATGGGTGCTTCCTCTTGTTTGCGCTTCCATTTGAATGCTATCTTGTGTTACAGATTCCAAAAGTACTATAGTATGGGCCTGATTCCAATTGCGTGATTCCAATGAGGGAGCCAGGATTCCATGGTCGGGGCGAACTTTGAGCCAAAAGTGTTCCATTATTATTTTTATTTTTGCTTATACCTAGTCACGTTTCCCGCACAAGCCTATTGTTTTTGACTTTTTGTTAGTTATTTTGATTTTGGAACTGATTTGGGCCTTGGATTTGGGTTGGTGTTTCTGTTTTGTTTATTTACGATTTTTTGGGTTATGTTTATTTGGTTGTTTGAATTTTGTGCTCCTTTTGTTTCCCAATGGGCTTGATGGCCTTCTTTTTTTGTTTGGGCCTTGGGAATGCTCCAAGTATATATGTACTTTTTATTATTATTATTACACAGAAAGAAAAAGAAAAAGAAAAAATCAATACTAAATAAAAATCGGTACATCAGTAAGTAAAATTGAAATATAATACATTTTGGATAAACAAAGATCAATCATTCAATTCTAATTCGCCCCTCAATCTGTCTTGGGATCTTTCGCTGACGAATCCTCTGTAACATGTAATTCCTGTACAAACAAAAAAATTCTTCAGTAAGTTTTTGCTGATTATTTTACTTTCCTCTACTCTAGGAAAGAAAATTAATCTCCCTTTCCTTGCAGTATGAGCTTGAATTCCATCCCCTGCGGTCTTTGGTCCAATTCATTAAAGATAATTTTTTTTTTTAAATAAATAAATAATAAATTCCGAAAATAAATAGCAGTACTTACTTTCTAAAGAATTAAGTACGTAAGATTTATTCTCTTAAATTAGGTCTTTCTTTAAATAAAAAAAAAAAAATTACAATCTTTAAAATTTTTTTAATTGTTTTCTATTTTTAAAATTATTGTAACGGTGTATTATGAATCTGTTTGGCGTAATTGTTGTAATGATAAAACGTTTGTATAAGTGGAAATTCAATTTTACCTAAAATAACCTACCTTGGCCGCACTTGGAGTCTCCGCTTGTCCCACGGTGGCTGTGTCTTTCGGCTCCTCCACCTTTGGCACCACTCGTACTTCTTCAATCAAATTCTCTACATTCATATTTTTGGGTTTTTCTGTACACATAATTTAAAATTATAATTTAAGATGCTTCATAAAAAAAATAATAATAATGATTCTTATATGGAGTCATCTTATATAAGTTGACCCTCTCACAAGGAATGGTACGTGGCTACCCTTAAGAGACATGGTTTTACGACTTTTGTAACCATGTTTATTGCCATGACTAAAAAGAATTTATGAAAATAATTTCTTAGGTCGAGTCTGCACACAAGATATATTCTCTTTCAAAACAGTGGTGACTATTTCCTTATAATAGAAGATATTCGGTGTGCCTGGTATACTCAAAATTTCTAGTGAGAACGGACGGCTCTATGGTTGGATGGACGATGCTCGCCCAATATATTATAAGGACGATTTAGTCAACTCAGGCTTTTGTAATATGAAGGGTTTGTTTAGTGAGGAGAAGGTGACTAACCATTCTTTGTTTCCATTTCGCTTTTTGTTTCTTGGACAACTCCTTTCTCCTCCACAACAGTATCTACTTTCTCGCTCTCCTCCACCACCCCATCCCTGCATCTAGGAGAGTAATACTCCGACGTCCCGGACATTCCCTCCGAGATAACGGCCTCAATGGTTTCCCCATCCCCCCTCGTCGAGAAAAAACTACTCTCTGGCGAGTCAGCGCCACCAGATATCAACTCTCCCTGCTTCTTCTTGTCCTTCTCTTCATTACCATCGCCTTCTTTCGAATCCGCATTGAGCTTTACATCTTCTTTATCAGCCACAACCTTGACAATAATGTTGCCAATCTCTGAGCCCTTCTCCGCATTTTCAATTTCTTGTTTTGGTTGGATGGACGAGTTCGAATCCTCCTCCACCTTCGCATTTTTGGTTTCAACTTGTGTGTTTGTGTCTGTGTTCGTGTTCGTGTTGTTTGTGGTCTTTTCAGGAATTGTTTCTATATCCTTGGTCTTCTTGGCATGATCAGTATTTGATGATCTCTTGCTCCGGGAAATGGTATTTCCGGTGGCGACGGCGGGTTTGGATTTCCCACAACCCATTTTTTATGTGGGAGAGGGGGGGAGAGGCGGATTCGATCTCTCAATTCCTTTTGGCTATTGAGATCTAGAGATAGAGAGAGAGAGAGATGAGGACTCTGTCTATTATAAGTTTTGCCCTATTGTTTGTTTTGGAGATCACTTGCATGTCTTGGCCAACTTTTGCATGGGGATATAGTTAAAAGAGGAACTTTTCTGTTGTTTTTTCAAGGTCCAAATGCGTCTGTGTTGGCATTCTTAATAGGAAGGGTATATATTTAGGCAGGCAAAAGTACAGGTTAGAGAGGTTTACCGGATACTGCCAGTAATGGGCCTAATTAACTGTATTCAGTGTGGCCGGGGTACGGTAATCTAGCTAAGTCATATATGTATAACGTATGTTGATGAGTACATATCCGGCTCCAATTAACCTAGGCATCGACTGAAATTTAATACCTTTTAATGAGTATCCCGATAGTATAATGCTTAGCTACTCACTGGTGAGTAACTTTACCATACTCACCCCTATATAGTTCAATAATAAAATAACACATCACATCTAATAATAAAATAATCTACACCTTTCTATGCTTTCTCGGATCAACTCTCAAATAAATGTATATAGTGTTTTTAGGTGTGAATTATTTTATTATTAAAGGTGATGTGTTATTTTGTTAAATGTATATAGTGTTTTTAGGTGTGAATTATTTTATTATTAAAGGTGATGTGTTATTTTGTTATTGGACCACATAGGAGTGAGTAGCTTCATCCTACTCAGCGGTAAGTAGTTAAGCATTGTCTATCCCGATATACTTGTACCTGGTAAATTCTAGATTTGTTTTGATATGCAAGAAATAAAAAAATTTAAAAAAACTACACTTACATAGAGTTAAGAGCCTTAAATAACAAAATAGTCTATTTTAAAAATTTATTTTTTACTTTAGTTGAATTAAGTAAAATAATTACGTATGCATCAATAACTATTGTTTAAGTCCAAAATGCCCTCTAAACACTTATTCCAAAATATTAAAAATTATTCCTCTAAAATCAAGTACTTTCTTTAAATAATTTCTTTCCTTTAATCTTGAACCATATTGCTGCAACTTCTACGATAACTTATACAAATAATAAAAAATATTTAATATAGTAAAAAATGGGGTAATCAAAGGTTAGTCCCAATATATATATATATATATATATATATATATATATATATATATATATATATATATAAACTCAAGAATATATAAATCGCCTTTGCTGTGGTGCATGACTTGAGATGATCATCAATTTTTTTGCTTAATTAATTACACTTGTTTTATAAATAAATAAATAAATAAATGATTGTTGGCTATTTAGTTTTTTCATGATCTCCCTCTCTCGTGCATACTGTATGTATGTGTGTCTATATATATATATATTCATAGAAAAAATTTCACATTTGCCAGTTTATATTGGTATAAATTAGGAGATATGGTTAAAGTTATGTACAAAATAAATTATATATATATATATATATATATATATATATATAGGATGAATTTCCACTTATTGAAAAAAAAAAAATTATACATAATGAATTTCAACTAAATTATTTGTATATTTCTAAATTAATATTTGCAAGTTTGAACTGATATAGATTAGGAGATATCATTAAAGTTTTTTGCACAAAATATATATATATATATATATATATATATATATATATATATATGTTGTTTTTTATTTTATTTATTTTGGTAATATATACACCATATATAGAAATGCCAAGTTGAAAGTCAACTCAAAAATGTTGTTTTTCTAAATTTTATAAATGAAATAATTATTTGATTTAGGAATGATATTTTGAAATAAGAGTTTGGATGGTATTTTGGACCTAAATAATAGTTTTTAATGTATATGTAATTATTTTACTTAACTCGACCAAATTGAAAAATTAACTTTAAAAATAGATTGATTTGTTATTTAAGGCTCCTAAATTTATTTATAAGTGTAGTTTCCCAAAAAAAATTCAAGAAAAAATTTAACTATTCATTAGTACTATTAAATATAGGTAAATTTTTCAGAAATTTTATTTTTATTTTTATACTATTTGTTCATAAAACACAAAGTCCTATTATTATTATTATTAGTTAGGTAAACACAAAAGATTAATGCTCCGAATAGGTCTCTTTAATGGGAAGAGCCACTAGGTCACCCATTTTAATCATTGGATAAAACAATTTATGAGATGTGTGACGAGCCAAATCAATTATGTGGATTTTGGAATTGTCAATGGAGCGGGTTAATATTAAACATAAATTTAACTGACTTGGACTTGTTTGGGTGAACTAATACTAGTAATATATATTTTTTTTTTGATGGGCTGAAGCCCACCCTAGATCCACCCTTGTTTATACCGTCATTATAATAAAAACGACTATAAATTTTGTGTAAGGTCTCAAAATTTTTAAATTCACCCTCTCATCTCAGTGAATCACAAAACATAACAAGATATTAAGTTTATAACCCACAGAATTCATGCAAGTGTGTATACATGCATAGTGAAGTATTATAGAGATCAAAAATTATAAGAATGTGCAGAGACTAATAATTTTTACCAGGATATACGGATAAGATGTCAAAATTTTCAATTTATCCCCAAAATAACATTAATTCCATATATATGATGTATTAATCCATTAAAATTTGCTTTGGGACACCAAATTAGGTTCATAGACATAAAATCATTGCTAACACCACATACTCTCTACTCTACCAAAAATTACAAATTTCTCAAAAAGTGTGAAATAAACACAAACACAAACTTGTAATTATATTGCCTTACCCCCAAACTTGAATTGCACATTATCCTCAATATGCAATGAGAACAAAAATAGAAGAAGGGTTAGAACAATATTACCATAGAAGTGATGAGTGTCTTGAAAGGGAATTCTGACAAGATACTTGAAAATATGCTTTAATGTTTTTAGAAAGTTAAAGTAAACACACACTCATTACAAACACATACTTGGAAATATGCTTAGGTTTTTTTAATCAGTTTTATGTCAAAATGGGAATTGCCCGTTCCAATTCTCGTAAAATCTAAGCATGTCAACACTGCACTAGACAATGTTTTGTTGCATGTACAACTACAAGTAGCATAGCATATCTCCTTCTTGCATACTTCTCTGTCCGCTACTTTTGCATGGAGATGGGTGCAACATCGGTTAAGGCGTGTGTTTGAGTGTAGAATTTGTGTAACCTTGAAATTCAAAGACTATAATAATGTCGAATTGTTTATCATTTCATCTTTATGGTAATATGTCATTCTCATGTAGCATGTAATGTTAAATGTTGGTGCTTCATTCAATTTTAAAGGCATAAGTTAAAAAGTTTTCTTAAAGATCTCTCGGTAAAATTATAAATTTGTTTTTCAGTTCATTTTGATTGACACTCTGATGTAGTAGGTATGTATTCGAATGCGTTTGTTGTATTTTGATGGGGGCTACAATGTGGTGTGTGCTTCAGCTGGGCTTTGTTTTCATGCTTTTGAGAATGAACATAAAATTGGTGCAGGTTGTTTATGTTTATGTGTCTAACCTTTTTGAAGTGAAAGCCAATGGTTCATTGGCAGCTTTGCATTGGGCCATTGGTTATGGCTTATTCCATATAATTGGGATCCCTTATTGTACACTAGACCCTGGAGAAGATTCTGATTTTCATTGCATATTTTAATTGTATACATATAATTAAGCAGCTATTTGTCTTTTTTTCAGTTTTGAAGTAGGTGTCCAATTGATATTTAAGGACCTGTTTGTTTGGTGTTTTGCTTTGGTGTTTTTGTTACAGGGCTTCATTTCAGGCCCAAAAACATGTTTGGTAACACTTGTTTTGTTTTAAACAGTACAAAACATTATTTCAAACAGTGGCCCAAAAGTGAAACACCAAAATGGTGTTTTTTGTTGTTTTAATACTGTAGCCCAATAAAAAGCACTGTAATGGATGAAACAGTCGGCCCAATTTGTTTTAGCTATATAAACATTTTAGGTCATTTTTGCACAAAATTTCTCTCTCCTCTCCCGATACTCTCTCTGCGATTCAAAGGCGATTTCCAATCGCCTCCATCTCTATTCTCATTCTCTACTCTGAACTTGCCCAAATCTACAAGAATCAAAAGTTCAAAACCCATTTATTTCAGTTATCTATCTGTCTACAAGAATCAAAACCTATTATTACCTATAAATAATGCCTCCATCTCTATTCTTGTTCTCAGACTTGAACTTGCCCACTCTCTCTCTCTGCAACTGGGTCGATATTTTGATTCGGGGGTTGTATTTTTTTTTTCTTGCGACCCAATTTGGAGGATCGTAATCGGAGGGACAGTACAGCAGCCGAAGATTTCTTTGTGTGTTGGCGTCTTCATCATCGACAAGTTGCCTATCAGATCGTGAAATTTTTTACCTGTTTCTTCGTACCTCGACCTCATTCTTTGCTATCGCCAGAGTTTTCTTGCTGTCGTCACCCTGTGTTATGTCCCTAGCTTCATCACCGGTCGTCTTCTTGCTTCATACATCGGCGCAGGTGTTTCAGTGGCTGCCGTCTTTTGTTTCTGGCCCGTAGTTGCAACTTTCGTTGAAGAAGAAGAAGAGTGGTTGTGCTGTGTTTGGCTACAGGGGTCTGCTATCCCAAACCCAGAGAAAAAAAGAGAGTTACAGAGTGATTTTTGAGAGAGAGAGAGGGGTCTGCTATCCCAAACCTCACTGTAGCATTACCTTGCAAAGATTTATATATATATATATTTGTGTCCAAACATGTTTTACATGTTTTTGTTTTTGACATACCTACAGCAAAATATAGTTTTCAAACGTACTTTCGAATTTGTTCCAAAACACCCTATAACAAAAACATTATTTCTATTTTAACCAAAAACAAAACATCAAAAACAAAACGCATACCAAACGAGCCCTAAGTGGCATCTGTTTCACATTATATCCATTCTTTATGTCCCAAATGTGTCAACGTCTTGAAAGCAGATGTCCGTAACACCTTTTTAAAAAGTGTCGTGCTCCATGAGTCCTACTTTATCCTTGAAATTTTTTCCAAAAAAAAAATTTATAGCAATTTTTAATGAGGCAATTAACCTTTAGAGTTTCTCAATTAATTTAGCATTCAATTTTAGTTTTCTATTAAAAAAAAATATAGTTTACTCTAAAATAGTACTCCGTATTAATTATTTTTTTCAAGACCATTTGGATAATTTTCTTAAATTTTATATAGTCTCGTTATATTTAGTTAAAAGTTAGAAATCGACAAAAATATATAAATAAATAAATAATAAATAATAATAAAAAATAGCTAAGAAATAAACCAGAGACACATTGTGACGTTGTTAGGTTGTTGCCTAGAGATCACGATCTGTCTTTCGTTTATTTGGGAAAGGATCAGAATTTCATTGATGAACTGACCAAATTGAGCTTCATCAACTTTGTTAGATATCTTAACCACTACCATGCTACCATCTGAAAACGTCCCTTTGTAGACTGTACCAAATCCTCCCTTGCCAATGACTCTACTTCCATTATAATTCTGTGTGGCCTTCTCCAACTCTTATGCCGAGTTTTGTTTTCGCCACAGTTTCTTCACTTGAAGAGATCTCTTTTTGTAATATCAAACCTCCATTCCTCTTAAAGAACTTCTGTTTCATTTTCTTCATCCATCTCTTTTCAAGTTTCCGGTGCCACCATATACCAATAGCAATTAAGACCAGAATACCAATAGCAATTCCAATGCCTGCATGTGCAGAAAAGATGAGCACAATTTCATGGAGAGGAAGGTATAAGAGAATAGCAAAAAATTGTACCTAAAGCAATAATTAGAACTAATGATGGTCTTCCTTGGTCCGGTATGCATCCAATTCCATTTCCCTGAACGCTGTAGAAACCAGGTGGGCACCTGCATGAGTAGCTACCTCCTGTGTTGTTGCAAAGAGAACCCTTTGGACAAACATTCTTCTTTGGACCTTTGCACTCATCAATATCTTTCGATCCAGAAAACAAAAAGTACATTATATAAGTTCTTCAAATTCAAATATTATAGATCATAAATGGTATAAACAAAAGGGCGTTCTCAAAGGACTATTTCTATTTTGTTTGTTACATAAATCAATATGAAAGCAAGGGCACTTTTTATTAGTTTAATTCAATTAAATTTTACGATTTGGACAGAGCATTGAGCAATAGGGGTTGGTTGGACTGTTATATGAAATCTATCCTTCAACACATCAAAGTTATAGGTCTGGATCATATGGCATTATTGGTGGATTTGAGATGGGTCAGCAGAGGCAATGGAAGAAGCCTTTCAGAGTTGATACCCGGTGGGTAGAAATGGAGGAGTGCAGAGAGGTAGTTTCCTATGATTAAAGTATTTGAAGACTGTAATTCCAAATTCTAAGATCCAATTTTTGGAACTTGTTAAGACTTCCCAAAACAGCATTACTTCAATTAGTTCAATATGCTTTAGTTCTACCGCATTCGAAGTGATAAATTCCACATCCATGTAAAAGTATTCAGTGTAGTCTGGAATTTTAAATGAATGAATTATAAAAATTAAGACAACTGCAAAAAGATCTTTTGGTGAAACTTAACAATGTACCTCTACCAAGGTATGTCAATATTTGTCGAACTTTTTACATTTCACAATGTTGCCATAGCTTAGATGCCTCAACTATCTTCTCATTAATTCTATCAGTCAATCTTTAATTTTAGAGTAGGTGGTCATTTCTAACAATTCTTAAACAATTTCAGTTCTTATGACTATGGAACTTAGCCAGCCTACCACATCAATCAATTACCAGTTCCTTATAAGGTTTGCCCAAATACACTCGATTCAGTCCTTATGACTAAACTTTTTAGGTTTCAAATTTATATCTTTTAATTGTTAAGCAAATATGGTTTTTCAATTGTTTCCTGCATTAGTTCTGTACATAGTTAGACCCATATTAAGAAGTTGAAGAATATGCAGCAAGTCTGACAAGCAGTAGTGCCCAGATAAAGTAAATAAGCCAGAATTTCGGCTAACAAGAAAAAAAAAGAAAATTAAAATTAAAACCAGCAGCTAGCAAGCAAAAGAAAGCCCAAAAAACAGAGCAACTAGTGGCTTAATTGATTATAAAGTAATTAACCGTGAAGAATAAAGAAAGTAGTAGTACTAGTAGTGTTATCTTGGCATCCACTGGGGAGGTAAGGGTTCCCTTGGTAACCTTGAGAGCAGCGACATCGATATTCCACTCTGTCATTAACACTGGTTTCTATGCAGCCAGTGTTAGAGCCACATGCATAGTCTTTTCTTCTGCAAGCTTCATCACAGGAGATGTTCCCAACTCTCCACTCAACTCAGACTAAAAATCATTTACCTGAAAGTTTTGCTTACCTGGAAAAACATTAAAAATTATCACTAGTGTTCTCAGAAGTCATTATTCCACGAAGATTGTTTCAAATAAATCATAGAACCAATTTGTATGAAGGGCAAACTCCAACCGGATAATTGGGCTCTAGGCGGAATATTAAGATATTGCATGAAAAATAGGTTGAAACCATGGTGTATAATAGGAAAAAATGGAAAAAGATAATTCATTTGGCCGACCCCATCTCTATGGGATAAAGGAGAGGAGGATGATGATGAAAAAAAGGTTCCACCTCAACAAGCTTCTAACTGAAGTCCGAAAATCATATAACATTTTTCCTTCCCTCCTAATAACAATCTTTTGCTTTCAAATTTTTAGATTAAAATTTAAATTTCTTGTTAATTTAAAAACCAACAAAGAAAATATTGAACCTTAACTGACCAGTTACAATAAAATACTGATAGTTGGAGAGTTGTCTCGTGGACTACGATTGTTGGGGTCTTCTTTTTGGCTTGTTTGGAGTTCAGTGGGTCATTCCTCGGTCTTCAAGAGGCTTGATTAATGCTTGAATAGGGTGCCTTGTGGGATCCCACGATTGGAGGGTGGCGCCCTTATGCATTTGGTGGTGTCTATGGAAGGAGCATAATAGAAGGTCCTTTGATGGAGAGGAATCTTCTATTGGGTCTCTAAATCTCTTATTGTTAGCTCGCTTTTTTGCTGGGTTATGCGGACAACTTGTAAATCTATAGAGGAATTGGTTGATATTTTGGGGTTTTTGGGTCCTTAGGCCCTCTTGGCTTTTGGCCTTTGTGTAGCCTTCAAGATGTGTTCCCCTTTTGAATGCTTTCTAATACATTTTTATTTCAAATGTCTATAACAATGATCCAAGTACACCAACATCATTCATAATAGGGTAAGTGGCATCCCAAGTGACCATTCTGGTCTTGCAAACTGTAGGAAGCAAAGTCATAATTGACATTGCTAAATTGTCATCCCAATGATGGTAAGTTGCAACCCACAAAACCCTTATTAAGTTGATATATTTAATACAATAAATAAATAAATAAATAAATACACAATAAATCACCCTTTAAATATTAATAATCATTGGGCAAGAATACATTTACAAGTCACAATATAGGTCATTAAATGGGGGCTAGCAATGTGACTCAGTCGCAGCATATCGGATACCAATCAGGTGGTATTCAAAGATAAGCTACGTACAAGTCTTACAAAATAGAAAAATAAGAATAAAAAATGAATATACATAAAATAGAACATTTATAAAATATATAACATTGTCTGAAAGATTTATAAAGGAATTAGTATCACATCATAATCATGTCATAGATCCGATTATAGTTCTACAAAGACCTAATGACATTTAAATATTATATTTACTATTTCAAAGAAATTACATACAATTTAACAATATGCATGCACACTTGGATATATATGAATAATTATCTACGTTTAAAATGAAATTTGAAAATCAATAAAAAAGACTTTTCTCTTTCTTTTTGCTTTTGTGTTAGAGAAAACCAACTACCCAAGGATCAAAGCCTGGATATACCTGATAATCGAACAGGAAAATGCACTACTGGCCGAGATATGAGTGAAACAGAGAGAAAATGTGAGACTATAAATGGGTTTTGGAATGCAAGAAAGACAAAGTAGGAGACATATTGTTTTAGGGAAAATTGAGTGACTGCCAGTGAGAAGCATTGTTTTTGTAAAGAAAAGACGAAATAATACGTCTGAAACATTATAAGCCAATACCAATATGGCTAGTGCAATGCCACACAAGAGATAAATATATAGAGTGGTACTTGTGATTCATTGCACGATACTATTGAGACAAAGTTAGTCTTACTTAAATATTGTACTGTCAGTCATTTACCAGAAGCCAGTGAGACTGAGATGACTTGTCCAAGTCAACTTGGTCGCCACTGATGCTACACCCCTTGGCTAAAAGAACTCATAATCGATACAAGAAAATACTATTTCCTAATCAAATGTTTGGAAGTCAATTGCTATATGAACTGAGCTAATAAAATAAAAAATAAAAAAATTAGAATTCTCAAAAGTCCTCTAATTTCTTAGGATCCTGCTATAGCGGGACTCATAAGTAACTGATTGGTTGTAATAACATCAAGTTTGTATCAGTAAATAGCATGAAACTAAATCACTCAAGAACAAAAATTAAAATATCTATTCTGAGAGAGAGAGACATCAGACATGTAAGAGATGGAAAATAAAATAATAATAGTCACATCCACGCATAATTTGGGTCTTAGAGACATACTCTGGCGCATGATATCCAAAGGTTCCTAAAACTCTTGTAGAATGAAGCGAGCAGCCATGTCAGGAGCCTGATTTGAAAGGTTGAAATCTGCAATCTTGGCCTTAAAGTCCTCAAACAGGAGCACATTGCTAGATCTAATATCCCTGTGTATTATAGAAGGTTGAACCTTCTCATGCAAATACTCCAATCCCCTTGCAGCATCAACAGCAATTCTCACACGTTGCATCCAGTCAAGCACAGGACCTGGTTGTGCCCCTTGAACTCCCTTTCTACCTGTGTGTTGATATATAATTCAAGAAATTGCTTCTCACTTAAAGAAATTTTGAAGTAAAGTTCTTACTCAATTAAAAAAAGATAGGCCAATTATGCATACCATGCAAAATGTCATGTAAAGATCCCATGGTTGCAAACTCATGTGCTAAAACACGGATATCCCCTCCAACACAGTATCCAAGCAACTCTACAAAATTTCCGTGCTGGAGTCTCGAAACCATGGAAACCTAAAATGAAAGGAGGACCCATATTATCAGATAAAATGAAAATTGCAAACTCAAGGAAACTAAGGAAATCAAATGAAGCTAAGTTTCACATAATCATGCAACTTTCTTCCAAGGGAGCCGACTTAAAAAGACTACTAACAATACTGGTCTAGTGTACAAATATATCTATATATACACATGGAAAAACAAAAAAAATTAAAGGAGGCAGAATGTAATCATGTAGAAGTTAGAACCAGAGGTCTAACGTGATCCTGTATCTTGCTAAACTCGCCCCACTTTAGATTCAACTCTAAACACATCTTTAACTTTAAGACTGACAAATATAATAAAATGTTGAAATCTGATAGTTGCTGAAATTGCAGTTGCAAAAAAGATAATAAAAGCTACATTAAATGCAACGTAATACTTCAAAGATGATATAACATTACATGTATCTACATATATTACATATATCTATGCGCCCATATATAGAGATATATCTACATATACATATATACCGACATTTAGATACACACCCCAAAAAAATTACTAATCGGAAAAAAATCTATACCCCTATATAATTGAATAAAAGGTGATGTCTCCAAAGCAATATTTCCAACTAAAAGGCGAACCAGAAAAGGCAACATGAAATCAAAATACATGGTTTCTAATATAATTTGTTACCATAATAATGTTATATTATATTATAGCCGTGTCGTAGTATAGCCGTGATTATTGTATAGCCGTTGTTGATCACTAGCCTATATATCTCAATTTGCATATGATTTATTTACACTTCAATATACAGAACATATATTATATATCTCTGTCTCTCTCTTATTCAACATGGTATCAGGAATCAGGAATCATACCTCTGAACCGTACATCTGATCTTTGTTTTGAAAACTGCCTGAAATTCAGTCTCAAATTCCACTGAACCATCCAACCACGCGCGCACGCTACCGGTGCTCTTGCGAGTAGATCTAACGCGCTTTTCACGCGTGCACGCGCCACCTTCTTCCTTAGCAATTCCAGTCCTCACATCCTCTGCGATCAACACCAACTCTCTGACGCCGTCAAGCACCAAAGATGTCGGCGTTGGGAGTGCGTCTCATTACCGGCCGCTGTTCTCTACATCGTCAACACACCGCTGATCAACACATCGTCAACACCGCCATCGTCAACCGGTGGTTATATATGCCGTCGCTGCTCCACGATTCCTCCCTTCACCATCAGCACCATTTTCCTCACACTGTTGGCGCTCTGTCAAGTCCCAACCACTCCTGAAATTGGGCGTGTATAGGATTATGATATACCAAAATTCTGGGTTTTATGAACTGTGAAGGACACGTCTCATGTTAGTGTGAAGGCTTGGGCTTATTACTCTGAAGACTTTGGGCTTCAGTAGGATTGGGCTTATTACTGTTAAGAGTTGGGCTCAGTTTGTATAATTCATAGGGTTAGATGAAAAAAAAAAAAACACCCCTCACCTATCGCCTAATTAGCAACAAACCCCCCTGAACTACAAAAATTGCAAAAAAAATCCCGACCTATTCGTTTTTGTTGCAGATGATCCCATCCAGCGACGGCACCGGTTGAAACTCGCCGTTAACCCATAATATTTAATTTAAAGGCCATAATGTCCTTATAAACATGAAAATACTATATTGCCTTTTATTTTGACACCTAAACACAAACACACCCTCTTCTTACTATTACACCCAAACACGCTCTTATCCATCTGTATACACACACAAATATATATCCTTGGAACCACTGTTCATCTTATTCACAAAAAAATTGCCGACCTAAACCTTTTTCTCTCCCTCCCTTCTTCTATTTGTGTATGTGTGTGTGTATATATGTATATATCTCCTTCATAACCACTTGGGCTATGTTTGTGTAATTCTGCATTTGTAGATTGTCCAAAGAATCGAAATCAGAAGCAAACAACACCATGGGCCTTGATGAAATCGAATAAAACACTTATTTACAAATGCAGAATTACACATGAACCAATTGATAAGTAAAAAATGGGATGAAAGATACAAATTTAAGGAATTTATTACCGATTTTACGTAGAGAAATTACTACTTAAAACCAACTACAACCTTTCCAAGGGTCAGAAGCAACAACCAGTGACTCGGATTACAACCTTATAATTTCACACTTTTGAATCAAATCGTAAACGCCCAGTGTATTACCATCATCAAATTGTAATCAAATCAAATCCCAAATTTTCACTATTTGGAGGAGTTGGGGGGAAAATTCGATTTGATGATCGGATTCTTAAGGAAAAGTGGGTGAAAAGTAATACTAACCCCTTGCTCGCGGTTCCACCGCTGATTTCGCCGCCACCGTATCAATTCATCTTGTAGCCACCGTCTCACTACCTACGGTCCCTTCACCTTCACCAGCATCGGACAACACAACTTCACCGGACACAATACCGTTTTTATCAATGGCGGGCAATACAGAGACCACTTTCTTCATCAACATCGCAAGCGCCGGAAATCAGTGCTTGTAATACTCCTAATTTTAAAAGGATAGTCTCAATTTTTATTTATTTATTTAAATTATTTTTTTAATTATTTAATTGATTATTTGACTAATTGCTTATGGGTTGAATTGAATTAAGTGTTACTTGAGTATTTGATTATGTGTTTATGTGTTATTTGTATTTTGTTTATGTGTTAATTGTTTAATTAGATTATGTACTTAAATGGTGTTTTGATGTAATACCCCTAATTTTAAAAAGGATATTCCTGTTATTTAATGGTATTTAATTTATTATTTAAGTGTATTTTATTTGATTATGTGTCATTATTTTTTTTATTAATTGCTTAATTGTTTTCTTTTGTGGTGATTTAATTTATTTAAATGATATTTATTGATTTAGTTATTTGATTGGAATTACTTGTTAGTGTTTTAATTATTTAATTGGCATTAATGGTTTAAGTGTAATTGGTTTAATTATTCTATGTGTGTCTTATTTTATGTGTGTCTTATTTGGTTTAATTGGGTTTACTAATTATTATTTTGTTCAATTAGATTATTTGTTAAGTATTTAATGGTGAATAGGGTAATTAGGTAAATACATCTAACTAAGGTTTTAATTACAGTATAAATTAGGGTTTTATATTATAGCCGTCGTAGGTTTTTACGTTAATTGGATGGGCCGGTTAAGATTGTGAGTTGGACTTAAATGAACCTAGGGTTTAGGAAAACTCAATAAGTATAAGGTAGACGTCTGTGTAGGGTTTTTTTTTTAACAAAGCACACGTTTTGTGGAAGTGAAGAAGGAAAAACGCAGTTTTTCACATTCTGCCAATGTTTGATCAAAGCTTCGATCCCATTTCGTCCGTGGTCCAATCGAGCTGAATTTTGGAGGAGAGGTTCATGACACAGTGATGCACAATCTGAACGGTGGAGATCAGAGTTTGATATCGGGAACAGTGATTTGTACTCGTGAACAGTAACTGGGTCGCACAGGTTTTTTTCCATTCTGCTCAGATTTCATCAAACATCCGATCCCGCTTCGTCCGTGGTCCGATCGAGCTGAATTTTGGAGGAGAGGTTCACGACTCAGTAATGCACAATCTGAATGGTGGAGATCAGAGTTTGACCTTGGGAACAGTGATTCGTACTCATGAACAGTAACTGGGTCGCACAGGTTTTTTTTTCCATTCTGCCCAGATTCATCAGACATCCGATCGTGCTTCGTCCGTGGTCCGATCGAGCTGAAATTTGGAGGGTAGGTTCATGACTCAGTGTTGCACAATCTGAACGGGGGAGATCAGATTTTGAGTTCGGGAATAGTGTTTCGTACCCGTGAACAGTAACCAGGTTTTGGAACTCGCCGGGATTTTTTAAGAAGACGACGTTGAAACTTTGAACAAAAGTTTCTGAGGCAAGATTCTATCCTTACTCTTTCCCTTAGGCTTCATACTCTTTGCACTCTTAAATGATTTCAGGATTAATGAAGATTAAAACAAACTAAAATGATATCTGTTTTGCTATGAAACTAATAGTTACAGTAGTGTTGTATGCTTGTTCAACCTAGACTAAGCATGTTTGTGGATGCATTGTGGTTCTGTGGTTCACGTTTTTCCTTACCACTGCTAGTATAAATTATTGGAAGGATGGGTCTAGATGATAGCTATCTTAACTTCTGTAATAGCAACTGTTGGAACTTAAATACTAGGAGGATTTGAGTTTAACACTAGATCGGTTTTGTTGAACACTATAATTTGAGCATGTCTACATACATACTGTGAATATTGTTTTGATGCTTACATTATCACAGTTAGTATCAACTATGGAGGTCAGGATTTTGTGATACATACCCTACATATCTGTATGTCATTTGTAAGGTGTTAAATGGAAGTTTTAATTAATTCTGTCTTTATATCAGACTAAAGGGAACAACTTAAATTGGGCATGTATATGTTGTTGTTGTGACCCTGTTTACCAATGCTTATTTTATCACTGCTAACATTGAATGTTGGATGTTGGAATTTAGTTGATATATACTTGATTTATTAGTATTATTGACTACTGGAGGATTGGAAAGTAGGCACCGGTATGGAACGGTGGCATACTAAGGATGGGTTTGGTTTTTAAAACAATACCATTACCCACCTACTTGGAATAAGGATGGGATTAACTAAAAGTTAAGTCCCGTGGATTTGTATTGTCATGGCAACTACTTGTTGAGCGGCAATACTAGGGATTTTGGATGGATTTTATATATGTACTGTTATGGTGCCTCGGTATGAGCTTGAGCCTCAGGACCGATGGCTAGGGAGCGTATATGCATCGGGATGTGTAGCTGGCTACGATGGTTGGAGGTGTACCCTGTTTAGGTATAGGTACATATACCCACTTCGTGTGCGTTTTAGCATGTTACCTCTATTCAGGTTGAGACCGGTCTGTAGTCCAGTCAGAGTCTTTTAGTGTGACTATATATATATATTTACGGACTATTAGCTATTGTTGAGTTGTTTAGGATGTACATGCGTATCGGGCCTCTGTTTGGATTGTAATAGTATAGAACTTGCGCGTGGGCCTGACCCACTTCTATTTTTCAGGTACACAACAGTTCCAGGCTTAGACGTGTTCGTGTTGAGCAGAGGTTTCTATTTACTCTTCCGACGATGTAGGGCTCTCTCTATAGTTTTATTTCTGGACGTTTATTACAGTTGTTCTATCTTCCGTTTGGATGTTTAATATGGGTCCACTAGAGATGGATTCCCAAGTTGTAAACTGATGGAGTTTTGGAGTTTGGGTTTGATGGATTTTAATAATTATAATATTTTGCGGATTCTATTTTTAGTTCCTTCCAGCTTTAATTTCATTTCTTAATTTATTTTGTATTCCGTGTTCATTATAAAATATTAATTGTTTGATATTTCCTCGAGTTTGGGCCTGGGCCTGATCAACCCGTGTCTCGGATCCGAGGGGTATCACAGTTGGTATCAGAGCACTCCAGGTTCAAGTGTCTCTAGGATGTTTTCGTATTAAGTCTTCCGCGTAGCATTTTCTCTTGAATAGAGCTTAAGTTATAATTCATTGTATTCCTTATGGTTCGTATAGAAAGGGTACTGACGTCTATCTTTTCGTGTTAACAGATGGTTAACGCTAGAAATGGACAGAACATGCAAGGAACTAGGAAGGAAAGGAGAACAGCACGTAGGCAACAATATCTCCTACGGCGTCAGCAAATGGAGGAAGAGCAGCAAAGGCTTGGGTTTCATGATGACATGGATCAGTTTCAGGAGGAACAAGAAAATGTTCAACAGACTCTGGACCAGGTCAAAGATCCAGAGATTCCTCCTCACCTCAATGACCTCATTGCTCGGGCTATAGAGGCTGGGGTAACAGCTGCACTTCGGAATCAGCCTCAGGTACAGCCGACACCTGTACCAGCACCAGTGGTTCAGACGGATTCTTGGGGAAAGGCTAGGAGCTCTTTCACAAAGGGGAGTCCACCTGTGTTCTCAGGCTCAACCGATGCGAGAGCAGCTCACCAGTGGAAACAGGACATTGAGCGTCATCTTCGTTTGGTTCAGTGCACGGAGGTTCAGAAACAGATGCTTGCTACTTTCAAGCTAGTTGGGGATGCACTACAGTGGTGGGAGTCAGTTACCACCTCAGAGGAGAGGATGACATTGTCTTATGATGAGTTCAGTGCTCGCTTTGATGAGAAATATTTTCCCTATGCAGTCAGGGCAGCTATGAAGACCGAGTTTCTAAGTCTGCAGCAGGGAAACATGACAGTGGCGGAGTATGAGCAGCAGTTCACACCCTTGTCTCTCT